CGCACCCGGGTCCCCACAAACGCACCCGGGTGCGAGCAGGAGCAGCCCCAGGTCCGCGCTCGGGGGATAAAGAAGGATGCTCCGGAACCTCCGTGTTCAGAATGCCCGCAGGAGGGGGGCCTGCTCCCCTTGCATGCAGCAGCCTGCGTGCCCTCTGGAAGGCCATCCTTGAGGCCTTGCCAGGCGGAGCGCAGGCACCGGTTGCCACCCGCAGAGCCTCCTGTCCGCAGCGCAGCAGCCTGCCAGGTGGAGCCTCTTTTCCTGTCAGGGATCCAGCTTGGCAGGTGAGCTCAGGTAGCGCCGTGCTGACGAGTAGATGCTGGGCCACCAAAGCCCCACAGCTGTGCCTTTTTCCAGAACAGGCCACAGTAGGAAGTGTATTCGTGGTTTGCTGTTATTTGATACCATCAACATCTTCCTTACTTGGAGGAGCAGCTCGGATCAGATTTTGATCTGCCCCTTGTTTACTTATCAGTCAGCTACTGCAAGCAGCCCGAGTGTGCGTGTGGCGAACTAGGAGTAACCTTTGGAAACCCAGCACCAAACCAGCTGAGCAAAGGGGAGCAACTGCTTCTGTTCCTCCTGGGGAAGATTCCTGAAGCGGGGGCAATATGGACAGATGGCTCTGCTCTCCCGGGACCCCCAGGGGAACTGGTGGGCAAGAGAGAACAGAACCGGGGCAGGGGGAGGCTTCTGTTGGAAGAAGTAAAGGCACTACTGGTTGGTTCTCCCAGCCACCCGCTGCAGTCTGGGGCATTTGGGGGCAGAGAAGGTGAAAGAACATTCTTGAATGGCCAATTAACAGAAGTAGTGTTTCTCCACCCAAGCCTGCCTGAACCCGCGTTCTCTGGTCACACCGGGTTGCGCCTCACAGCCAGCGCGGCCCAAGGCCAGAGAGGCAGCTGTAGTTGAAGCCGTACTTGCCCGTACCAGAAGAGCATGGCACAGCCCTCTCCGGGTTGCCTTCCTCCCAGGGGCCCTTGCGTCACCGGTCCAAAGGCTGGATAGCTTGCCGGGTTCTCTTCGGGCAGTAGGGCTCTCCGCTTCCTTCCCCCTAGGGAGGATCAGGTTTTTCCAGTTCCTGTGGTTGGAGCTTTTTGATCCCGGCCCTCAGCTCTCAGTAAAAACTTACCTTTGTCCTTCCTCCCTTGCCTTAGAGCGGCTGATCCTCCAGCAGCCTTAAGGTAGCCCGAGGTGCCCTGCCCTCCCTCAGAGTGGTGGCAGAAGAGGGGCAGGAAGGAGCCCCCCCGCAACAGCTGCAGTGGAGACTTGCCTTGCTGGAGGGGCAGGAGAAGGGCCTGCCTTGGGGCAAGGGCAAGGTGGGGCTGGAGGCGGCAGAGGATAGATGCCGTGCCTTCGTCCATGCGCTGCATTTTGGAGGACCGCTGCCTCTTCTGCCATGCCCTCATAGGCGTATTGTAAAGACAGCAGGTAACAGGCAGACATAGCAATGAATGAAGCCGGTGGGTGGATGGGGGGTGCCTGCTCTGAAAAAGCATGGGTGGTAAGGGTGCTGAGAACCCAGGATGTGACCCACTTACTAGTCATGTGGCTGCTGTGATTCTGGCAGGAGGACCCACCCGTGAGTCTTCTAGGGAAGCTCCGATGAAAGGAGCCCACGGTTTGAATATCTTTGCAGAAAAGTGTGAAGGAGGGGCTCCTGCTGAAGCAGACAAGCTCTTTTCAGCGGTGGAAGAGAAGGTTCTTCAAGCTGCGTGGCCGGACACTCTACTATGCCAAGGATTCGAAGGTGAGGCTTTTCTCTGTGGACAGCAAGGTGTGAAAAGGCTGCCAGCTTCCACCTAGGAGCCCTGGGCATTTCAGAGTGCCCACATTTCGGGCTCTCCCCAAGAGGCAACGTACCCCCTGCCTTCGCCTATACATAGATACCCAGATCTGCACAGGAAGAACAAGATGAGGAGAGGCCGGGGGGTGAATGGCTATGTGGAATGGGTGTTGCAATTCTCTTCAGGAAGCAGGCTTGAAATCTGCACTGAACAGCCACAGAAATCTCTATTAAAAATTCTGCAGTTAGCAAAGGAGTCTGCCCATTTTCTTAACCTGATTCTGAGCCAAGATTTGTCTTTATTATGTGAAAGAGAAGCTGCTTGAGCAGGGTGAGGGATTGCCCAAGAGGTGGTCTCCAAAATTCTGGAGTTCAGGCCATGTCTCTGGCACAGCACCCTTTCCTCCTTGCTCTTGTAGTCACTGATCTTCGATGAAGTGGACCTGTCAGATGCCAGCGTGGCAGAAACCAGCACCAAGAACATCAACAACAGCTTTACAGTAAGTCTGCCGCTAGAGCTGGCAGCCTTCCCAGCAGACTAGATGGGGTCAGAAACCTGACAGTGGGCTTAGCTCTGGCACACCCAGGAGTCTCTTCTCCCTCTTTCCCCTGATCCATCATTCTGCTGACTCAGCCCAGGATCTCCTAGAGCACTTTCCCTGTTTCGGTGCCCTGCGGATAACAGTACCTCACTTTGTCCTATAATCCCCCATCCATAATCTTCTTTTCCTGAAGGCTCAGTGGGTGAGTGTTGGGAAGAATCAGAGGTAGAGCCCATGTTGAAAGCGTCACCTGGCATCCTGTGTCACAAAAGGTGCAGGAACAGGCGGTGGGAATAGACCTCCCTCTGCCTGAAACCCTGGAGAGCAAGCAGTCCTGGGCTAGATGCCCAAGCAAACCAGCCTCAGCTGAGATGGCTTCTGAGGAATGTCAAATGATGCAGACCTCCATCTCTCAATGTATGAGAACTTCTAGGTCACCCAGATGCTCCTAATTGTAGATATTGTAGGAGGAGAGCAATGCCTGTCTGTGCTAGGCAACAATCAGAAGGGCTGCCAGGCTCCTGATTTTTGGGCCACCCTGAGAAACTTCTTCAAAGGCTGCTTTTGCTTAATCCACTGGGGACATAGGGTGACTGCCATAGCATGTGGGGAAAATAGAACCCCATATTACTTGCGGGACTAAACCAACTGTGTGGCTCTCTTGATCACAAGGACTTGATAAGAGCTCCTGACTCAGAAGCATCCTGTCCCTGAAGGCCAGTCTGTGGAGGGAGCCAGGGGCCAGCGGGCTTCCCACTGGGGCCCGCCGTTGGCCAACCCAGGAAACAGAGGTTGCTGAATTAGCGGCAGCAGCAACAGCAGGGCTTTTCTGATCTTACTCTTCCTGTAGGTGATCACCCCCTTCCGAAAACTCATTCTTTGTGCAGAGAACCGGAAGGAGATGGAGGACTGGATCGGGGCCCTGAAGTCTGTCCAGAAATGGGAGATCAATGAGGTGGTAGTGTGAGAGGGGCCCCTGTTGGGAGGGCATATGTGGGAAGCTAGTACCAGGCCTAAACAATGAGGCCAAAAGGATTGGGGAGGGGGTCCTTCATGCCTTCAGTTCTACTCAGGGCTGCTGCTGGAGGTGCCCCCTTGGCCTGATTTGTGTTTAGACATCTACAGCTCGCCCTTGAGAGAAACCAAAGTCCCCTTCCAGTGGCCAGTCCAGGGCAAAAGAGTGGGTGGGGCAGGGACTGGGTGACCTTCTAATTTACCTTCCAATAAGTCTTAGGGCAGATCAGGATGGGAGAAGGGTCCTTGAACTAGCCCAAGTAGTGGGGGTGCGGGGGTGGGGGGCCCTTCTTTGTGGCTGGGGAAATCTTGCCCTGGCTCCTGCTGCCAATCGCCATGCTCTGCTTTGACATTCAGGCCTCCCAGTTCAACATGGAGCACTTCTCCGGCATGCACAATTGGTACGCCTGCTCCCACGCCCGGCCCACCTTCTGTAATGTCTGCCGGGAGGCCCTGTCTGGCGTCACGTCCCACGGCCTCTCCTGTGAAGGTAAGCCCTTTCTCCCGGGCGGAGGGGGCAGGCTAGTCCTGGGGGCCTTCACTGTGCATGAGGAGGTTCTCTGACAGAGGGGCAGGATTCCATCTCCCCCAGGCTGTGGCTGGCCACCCCTTTCCTCCAGCGGCAGCTTCTCTTCTCTTCTCTTCTCTTCTCTTCTCTTCTCTTCTCTTCTCTTCTCTTCTCTT